TTTTGACGTGCTTTAATTCCTATTGTTTTGGACGTTTCTCCATGATGAATTGTGGTTGACGATGTCTTCAAATTCATTGACCATATGTCGTCCGCCATATTTTTATATTCAGGCATCAAATATTTTAAATGTAGTTACTCATATACAAAGTGACGCAATGCACAAATAAATACTATGTAGCTAGCGGCATACACAACCAAAAATAAACGGTTATTAGTAAATCAATCAAAGGTATCTTCCCAGTGATTTGTTTTTGTGTAGCTTATAGTAAGAAGTTATTGACATACTTTACCGTCCAACACTTGTCTATCTCAGCTTAGGATACATTCGCGTATCTTAAATCTTATCACTAGGGCATATTAAGACGAATATGGTTGACCCCATATTTATTATTACTAAGGGTGTATCTATTTTCCTGAGTAGTCAGCCGTGCGGAAGTGAAAATGCTTTACACCACATCTTTAGTATTAGCATGCGCATTATTTTTTTGCTTATGGACCCACTTCACCATCTTATAAAGGCGACAGTAATGACGCACTTATGTCAAGTTAGGCAATGGTTTCATCTCTACAGTTTCTTACTCACTAACAGGAAATAAAATGTAACCGTAGGTAATAAAGATTTCCGCATATTTCATATGATTACTCCATTACATTTCATCCGCACTTAAAGTAAAATAAGGCATAAAGCGAGATAAGTCAACTATTTTACGAAGGTAGATAGTGTAATCCACAGTCACTACCAACAAATTTCTAAAACCAAAAAGGAGCCTTGCTGAAAAATGGTGAATATTAATTACAGTGATATCTTACCCTACTACCTACCAAAAGGAAGTAGTGTAGCAGTTAGTCTTGTTTGAAATGAGGCCAAATTCGTAGTTGATTCAGATGTCAATTAAGCAAAAAGCATCTGACTAACCAAAAAGATTACAATTGGTTAGATATGTTAACCCTTCTACGTATTTGAACATTTGCATAAATTATAATGGGCAGCTTTGCGTTAAAATCATTAATATATATGAAAAACTTGGGCACTGTGGTTTACTAGATATATCACACAGTGAAAAAAATCATTTATGTCCAGTTTACTTAAGCTAATCTCAGTGGAATATTTCCTGCATTTCACGGCCATACGAATTCTACGAACCGGTAGCGTAGATGTTCACATAACACTGTCTGTGTAGTGAGATCATCTTGTCAGCGTCTGAGACCTATAATTCAGTGATGTGCACCATATAATGTCTGTTTTCTAAACAATTTGTTTCTAATGTAAATTCACCTTTCTAAAAATATGAGTAGCTATTTTTGTTTTCCTATTATAGGCTTTTGACTCTCATCTGAACATGATCTTGGGAAATGTTGAAGAGACGGTAACAACATTAGAGATTGATGAGGAGACATATGAAGAAGTTTATAAGGTAATTCAATTTTTCCCTGTGTTATCATCTCTTATTTAGACAACAAAGCGTACAATACCCATGCTTTTCATCCGAGGTGACGGTGTTATTCTTGTCTCACCACCACAAAAAGAATAACTTGTATAAAACATTTTCCGAAAATCATGTTGTATCCTTGTATCTCTCATTCAATAAAAGACTTATTTTTTACCCATGTTGTATCAGCTGTCTTATCTTTCTTAAAGCGTCCCAATAACTAAACATTCCATGTATATTAAAGTCGTCTAAGGCGGTAGAGTGTAAATCGAAATGCAGTTTACTAGGAATCAGAACTGTAATTTCCAGTCTGTCAATACATATCGATAATTGAGATGAGAATATAGACAAGTAGAGTACTTCATTCTCTTAGTTTCCATTTAGACATACGTTTAAAACACCACCATTTTTTTTTACCAGAAATCCTACAATATAAGTGATGGTGATAAATCATGTACTTATAGAAAATTTTAATATGGACTGTGATAGGCGTTACTCGTTCGCATGTCAGTGAGCTAGACTCAGTGATCCAATTAATTTTTTTTTTTACAAATCAATCTTTATGAAAGGTTGATTTTCATAAAGAACTTAGCAAAGTCAGATATTGACAGTTAGTTTATAATTTAGCTTTCCTGTCTTCACTTTGTCAACAGTTCTTCACAGTAAACATATACAGAGTCAATAAAATTATGTGACAAATGAAGGATAGTTTAGTCACAAAATGAACACTTACACAAGGTTTAACAAAAAAACTTCTATTGGTTTACAAAATGGCTACACTACAAGGAGAAAAGACAAATACATAAGACTGAGTGAAAACCACCAAACAAAAAGGTATGGAAGAGGGCATCCTTCAGGTACTCGTTTAATTCTAAATGTGATTGATTCAATGGATTTTGCTGCGAGTATAAGGTGGTCACACGCTACACTAAATGAGTATCACTGAGACAGAAGATGAGCATATTGACAAATAAATTGAAGCTTTCAAATGATAATCTCTCAAAATATAAATTGAACGCATACTGAAGTCAATGAATAGGTAACGCTTTATGGATAACGCTATAGACCACCAACTCAGTATAAAAACAGCCTAAGAATCAAAATTCAAGTGTTATTTTTACACGAATGCCTGGTTCTTATGTGAAAATGTGTTAAGCCATCTAAAGTGAATTGTTTCAATACAAAGTTCCCCGAAATATTCCCATATGAAAACAAAGCTAAATAATCCATGACTTTCTCCATCACACTGTTGTTGTATAAAATCACTTGAGACAGACAAAAATTGATGTTTATTGATCACTAGCAATGGAATTAAGAGATGAGTTTTGAACTATTTGCGACACGTCAGCTGCAGGTGCCTGCATTTAATTGAGTAGTGACGTCCAAGTAACTTTGGAACTCAGCCTTGAAAATGGCAAACGTGCCAAGGGGATACATTTGGTTTAAGCCCGGGTGAAAGAGCCACAACTCAGTAACAAGTCCTGTTGACTGATGTAAGAATAGAACTTGAGCATTATGGTAGAGTAGAATTCCATTATGGAAGAAACTTATTTTGACAAGGTCTCACAATGTTATACAGTAATATTTACTGATGACCAGGTTTTCAGCACAATTTATTGCTGCTAATAATCATATCAAGTTACCAATAGATCGGGGCTAGTCAAAACATAAAAATTTAGCTAAGGTTAGAATGATTGACCCCGCGAAGATAAGCGATTTAGAAAAAGCTCAGCAACTGTACTGTATGCGTTAACACATAAGGGTGGGAGAGGGTTAAAATTCTAAAAAGTAATATGGGTATCAACATCGTTGTTTTTCATTCATTGGGAAATGTAAAAACCTTTATTATAATGAGTAATATGGATATGGGAGAGGTTGATTAATGAATCTTTGTTCGTAGTATCTACACCGAACACATGCAATAGGAATGACTCATCACAGAGATATGGAAAATACTACTACCAATCAAATCGAGAGGTGAAAAGTAATGGAGTTATATAAACGAAGTTGTGTGCGTAGTGCCTTGATATGATTATGAACAGCAATAAATTGTGCTCGAAATGTCATCAGTAAATATTACTGTACAACAACACTGTGACTTTATCAAAATAAATTTTACCCATAAAGTCCTGCTGACTCTACTAAAAATCATCAAGAAGTTAATAAGGCTGAACTGAAACAAAAGAGAACAGCAAATATAGATCGATTTGACGTAATAAAATCAACAACGAGAAATTATAAATGTACGCATGATATTGATTTTTTAACCAGTCTTAGGTGTAATAGCATTAGTGCCACCTAGTGAATGATTTAAAACAAATCGAAAATGCGTAAATAGATGTAGACATTTATTCGGTAAAGGGTTTTCAAGAGACGATACTTTTACACATTCTGCTAATGATTAGACTATTGCAGCCGTATACCAAGAGATACAAAATCCGACGGGTCGTTACCTCTGTTCAGGTTGTAACGTTTCACATCACGATAAATGAAAGAGGAGTTACCAAAATATAACTAGTGATGTCAAAGAACTAGAAAAAGGAGACGATAGGAGAAAATAGAAGAAATACACAGAACATGCTCAATTTACAAAGTGACAAGCAGATGCATCTGCGCCACAAATTGTCTTCCTTCAACCGACGGCTTTTATAATCATACACACTGACCAGTAGACTTTCTATGACATTATGATAAACGGGATAATAAATTAGTCCGGTATGTTTAACTTCAACCTCAGTGAATACCACAAACCAAGCTTGATGATTCAGTATATGACAGTACGAAAATAAACGGTTTCTGAATTTTACTTTACTTCGGCTATCTCCTACGGGAGGATGAGCCGGCTTCATGAACATCTCGAATCATGGTGAGAGTCGTTTGTGAGGGAGTTCATGGGAATTTGGTACGAGTGATGTCCCCAGAATCGCTCGGCCTTTTGTTTGACAGTGCAGCTCTAGCCTTTACACAACCAAGTGTGACCTACAAGGCAGTAGGAGTGGAGTAGGGAGTCCACTATCCATTGGCAGCCGGTGACCGGAGTTCGGTTCATACGCCTTTTTGAATGGGGCCAGACATCCAACAAGCCCTTTGTCCATACGTCTGCCAGTGAGCTTCATACACCAGTCGTTGGAGTTTTGAATTTGCAGTGAAATATGATTTAACTAGCCATAAGTTTCTGATCAGCTGCTAATAATTAATTCCAGGTATAGAGACCTATTTATCATTCTTTTTATGCCGCTGACGCAAATGACTACACCTTTAACGGAGGCTACTAATCCAATGTCTAGAGGGCCATACTGAGTATGTTTCAAATAAACATTCATCAAGAGTTAGTTTTAATTTCGACCACAGTTTGATATCAATTAGCGAACCACTGAAAACCAGCAGGGAGTACTGGACAGCTGTCTTATTCTAATTTGGAACCCTTCGATAGCACGTACCCGCCGCCAGGGTTCGAACCTTGCAGCTACCGGTTACATGACAAGCCCGTTGACCATTCAGCTACTGGGACCCAACTCAACGGCCCATGAATTCTAACCTCCGCGTATTCATGATTTTAACTTGACCGCCAGTCGATGTCACCGGCAAGCAACAGTTCTCCTACCTGACTTGGCAGACCCCGCTGACAGCGGGTTCGAACTCCAGTGGATGCATACTACCGATCACCTCCAAACTAGAGTGAAGCAGCTGTTCACTTCTTCCTGGTTTTCAATGTTTCTCTAACTGAAATTAATCTGTAATCGAACTTAGAACAAATATTCATCAGATTATATATCGGTTAACTTTTACCTAAGTGATATACACTTTGATACTTTGTGGGTGCCGATGACTAATATTCTGTACCTGAGAGTCATGTATCAAACTCGAAGCAATGTGCCTGTATTTTGTAAAATAAATAATTGAAATGTTGGCTTGATTCATTAATTTGTACAGTGATACACACGTAATAAATCGATTGTTACCAATAAGTATTTAAAAATCGTGTGTGAAAATGATATTAGGGGTGAATAACACCAATCATAATTAAGAAAACCAAAAAAAACAAAACAATTTCAGCTCTAAAAACATTAGTTTACAAAATCTGTAAAAACGACTACATTCTCATTAGAAGCAAAAATGATAAAAATAGCGTTATTTTAATATTTTTAAGAAAAACTCCCCACAGAGAACTTAAACAGACAAGTGGAAATCATTTTCACTTGGCTCACTACTTCTGATACGTAGGTTGGATTGCTCCATAAAACGTAAAATAACATCCGACCAATTATTACAAAACCATGTATCATTATGATGACCTTCGGGGAAACTGACAAGACCATCTATCCCAGAATTGATAAATGTACTTGGGTCTTGGGATAGTGGATTTCGCTTTGAAAAATTGTCATGATGCATAACAACATCAGAACTTCGACTACTCAGCATATGCTTCTCAGAGAGTATGTTTTCATAAGCTTCAGCAAGCTTCCACATCATTTTCGGCGGGATAATCTTGTCCTGTTCCCCGGAGATAAGTAGCATCGGTGGATACAGAAGAACTGATTTTCTTGTCTTACTGCAATTTTGAAGTTTAATTAAAGATGAATATTGATTAGAAAACAACCATGATGGTAATTTCCATGGAATGTTTAGAATATGACTGGCAGTCTCAGATATTGAAGTAAATGTATTCTCAATGATGACACCACATATCTTTGCACTTGATTTAGGATCTGAAGCTAAGTGAATAGCCACAGCTCCACCTAATGATCGACCGAATAAAAATATCTTCGCAGTATTGATATCCGTTCGTGATGATAAATAGTCCATAGCACATTTAGCATCAGCATAAAGTCCTTTTTCACTTGGCCTACCAGTACTTTGACCATAACCTCGATAGTCTAATATGAAAATATTACACTGGAAATGAGATTCTAAAACTTGACACATTGGTAGACGAGATGTTGAGTTGCCAGCATTTCCGTGTAAAAGCAGCACAACTGGACAAGTTTTCCTATTGCATAAATTCGATTGTAGAAGAAAAATACCAATGACTGTTGGACCATTTTTCCCGTCGGGGGACAATTTCACTAGTTCCCATGTAGTAAATCCACAACTTGATGGATTCGTGTACAAGAATTTAGACGGTGATGGTTCATTACATGCATAAACTATAAAATGCTCTAAAAATCGAAAACAAAACCAGAAACCAAAGAATAGCAAGAAAATAGAAATCAAAAGAGATAAAGGCAAAACTACATAGTTAAGTAATACACACAGAGGTACACCAAATGTAAATGAAAAGAACAATCCAGGGAATAAGGATCGGTTGAACTTTGTTGAACAGTAGGGTTTCGAATTCATCAACCGATGACTGCAATGCGAATGGAATGATCTTGAAAAAATTAAAAACCGACTAAATAAACTTCGCCGCATTGTGAAATCCTCGTTTAAACATGGATTCGATTCATTATCTGCAGCGACTCCAGGTGTCTAAAATAGAAGAATTAAGATAGTGTTTTTCAGAAATTCGATTTAACGTTCATTCAGACAGTAAGATTTAAAAAAACAATGTTATGAGTAAACAATGGCTTTTAAGAGTATATGAAGTGTAGAATATCTGCAATATTAGGTCACTACGATGCATAACAATCCAAAAATAAAGTAGATATAACGTTGGAACTGAAAAACAATCAACGACTAAGGTACCATTCTTTTCATCCAGAATAGATAAATCAATATTCTTGTTCTACAACATTGCATCTCCTTTAGAATACTATGAACCCACACCTTTATCCGCATAAATTTGTAGTAGCCTATTACGCAATCAGCACCAAATTGCTGAAGTACGGAATAACAGAAGGTTTATCTAAACAAACGTCAAAATAATTCCACACATACCAAGAGAAGGATTTTAAGTAGTTTGGCATACATTGCTTCTTATCTTGTAGGTTTCAGTAGTTTAATAGTAGTATATGTGATTGGAATTAAAGCAATTATTAGCACTTCTAGACTAGCTGCTAGTATTACCAACAAAAAATTTTAATATAATAACTCTTAATCAATCTGAAGCTTTCGCAACAACTGAAAACAGGAGTGCTTAACACAAATTTAGACGAACATCATATTAGTGACATGAATATGTCAGCTGTATTCATTACCTTCACTGGAATGACACAATGATTTATACAAATCAGTTTGTATAGGGCAATACCAAAGAGTTCAGAAGGCCAAATTGATGTATGCCTATCTCATTCAAATCACTGGTCAATAATTCTTCTCGTTTAAATCTTACCGAAAGATTGTTGATAGCACTACTTAAGTGTATCCACTGAAGTACAAAAAGACAAAACCTCTTAATTAAGGAGTTTTCGCGATTCACTGGAGGCCCTGAAGAAACATCTTATTGAGCCATTTTATTATATCAGAACAGTTGCCTAATACAGAAGGCTGGAGGCAGCAGTTAAATTGTTGTCGTATTTAATTGAAGTATAAATAGGAGCTGTTGCAAACTAGCACGAGAATTATAAACGACCTCTGATACACCGAACATTGCAACTTACCAACATAACATCAAATCGGAAATTACGCGTGGAGACTCGGTACCATAGCAGAGTTGGATTGCACGACCAAACAAGATGTGGCTAACCGTTCAATCAGTAAAGAGACACTTTGAAACAAATATCCAACTGCAAGGTGAAAACCATTTGCAGTAGTAAAATTACCAGCAAATAACAAGCCAATTCGGTACCGGAATTCTCAGATAAGTACATGAATAATGTTCAAAAACATTGAGTTAGCGATAAGTGAGCAGTTTGATAGATTCTTCGCGTCATTTGTATTTGTCTGTCCACAGTTGCGAATGACAAATACTTAAATCCAGCCTAATTAACGCTTCAAGTTAATAGTGTTACTCGTTATATTACAACCTGTAGCTTTCAAACTACTCAGTCTCCATGGTTACAGTTGAACTATTACAACGCATCGACTTAGCATTACACCTAGGTTGTTAACTCTTATATAGGTTGACAGTAGTGCTGGCAGCTAACTCTAGGTTACGACAAGAAATAAAGCAGATATTCCCCCTTCTGGAGACATAACTCTACCACACGAAACTTAATTGAATTTAATAAAAGTCACAATGCGATGTTTACGGCTAATAAACGGTTGTTTGTATAGTTTACCGGTGGGTGGTTATCCCAGCCCAACTGTTTAGTAAACACATAGTCGTTTCTGGTGTTAACACGATCCCCTTAGGACATGAGAATGTGATACATTGCATCGAGGGTTTTATGGAGTGAAAGGCACGCCTACAGTTATCAATTATCTGAAAATAGAATATGGCTAAAGATGCCTGGCATGTGGACGATGCACATCATCTCTAACCGACATCTCCAGTCACAGAATGTATCCGGAATTTTATGAAATACAAATTTAGGAAGCTAAGAGTAAGAATCCCTTGATATTACTATCTAATGGGTTATTTTCACCATCACAAGATAAATTAAGGAAAACCTAACAACTGACAGGACAGGATAAAACATTCTGAAGTCTATAAACTTCAACGAATATTGTGGCGACATGAACTTCAACATGAAATCAACTTATTAACAGTAATCTAAGATGAAGCGTACTGTACTCAGAAATGAAATCTACTACTACTAACACGAAAATTAGATAACAACATACACTCAGTTGTTCAACAAAGAAAAAGTTAAAAGTGTTGCAGATTTCTGTGTCTAATTAAACTAGTTAGTTAGTCAGTCAGTCTCGTGTTGTAATATAAAAGAGTATTACAAACACATAGTTTTGAAGGGAGAAGTAAAGTCCTCTGGTCATGTATACAGTTTATTTATACAAATCAAGATAATAGAAAAAAAACTTTTGTACAAAAGTAAATAATCTGAAGTCATTTTTAGGAGCTTAGTCCAGCCTTCTTTTCTGCAATCACATAAATTAGTAAACGCCACATCTTGACAACAAACACCTCTGCTTCTTCATCTAAAACCTAAAAATAAAATGAGAAATTACAAAATCTTTATAATATATTTTCATAGTGACTGGACAAGTACTCAATAAAGCATAGAAATGAAAATACAAACTAATCCCGATTCTTGCCGAATATGTTGGCAACAGGAAAAAATAGTATGACGACTATGTGAGAGTTGTATCCTACATCTGAAAAAACAAACTGATATGAAACTGTATGACTTATCCAAGAAAGATAGGAGAACGAAGCTCTCCGCAGAAAACACATGCAATATGTCCAGCGTATATACATAAGAAGAAAAACGTAAATCCTTAACGTATTCCATGATTCACTGGTATTGGAAGACTATCAATGAAGTGTATACATGAAAATGATTGAGAAAACTTATACCTCAGACTGTTGTCGTTGTGTCTTTCAAGTGGAATGGTTTCATCGAAAATCTTTTATTGTCTTTCTAAACAAAGTAGTGTTCCCATGAGAACCTCAAAGTGACTTAATCCCATCATAAGCGATAAAAAATTTTAAAAAACAAGAATTAACAAGAATAAAAATAACATATATATGCAGCACTACCTACCATAGCTATATCAGCGAGGATACGTTCTGGTGGGTTGTGGTGTAGCAATTGATCACAGATAAAGTTGGATAAGGTAGCTTCAGCTTCACCAATATAACTAACAATCTTCTTATCTACCCAAGGCTTTATTCGGGAGTTTACGAATTCCTGAAAAAAGGGACAGAGACCAAAGACGGTTTGCTTATTTTACTAATAGTACTAAATGGAATTTTAGAAAGTAGCAGAAGGAAGGAAAAGAAATATCCTAGTGATAATCATCTAAATACACTTAATATTCAAAGCGAATTATATAACATTGTGTTATTGTTCTCCTAGGTTCCTAGTGGAAAACGGGGCTTAAACAGCACACCATTTTTCCTACTCTCTGTGGTCCTCTGTAGCTGGTCCCACAATTGTCTATACACCACTCTTACCTCCTCCTCGCGTGATCTCCTTTTCGTGACTCTAGGACCCCACACTAGTCGTTTCCCATTTGGGTCTCACTCGACGATCAACCTTGCATGCGATGTCACTAAACGGTCTCCTCAGCGTGTGTCCAAACCAGCTCCATTTTCCTCGGAATATTTGTTGAACGATAGATTCTTGTTTAGTCTGTTCCCAGAGTTTCTTGTTGCTAACTTTTCCTAGCCATTTGATCTACAATATAGAACGAAATCAGCTGTTGAAAAAAGTGTGCAACCCTGTTGGAAGTGCTTTTTGTGAGGTGTTCGTCAAGTTGAAAATCAGAATTTTGTTCTTTATGCTGAGTGCAGCAGATTTTCAAACTGATTTCAGAATGACGAAGGTTTACCTTGCCTTTTTGATCCTGGTTTTGACATCTCTATCCGTGCTATCCTCCTGTAGCTGAAACGACGATACCTAGATGACGGAAGGATGTGACCTCGTTTAAATCCCCCCGATTGGTAGTGATTGGTGCTTGTTGTTGTTGGCTGGTTATTTTCATCATCACATCCGTCTCTTCTGCGTTCACGAGAAGCCATGTTTTTGCTGCTTCTTCCGCCTGCTTGTTAGTTTTTTGTTATAGGTCTTCGAGTTTGTGTGACATTAGACATATATCACCCACGAAATCCAGACCTTCGAAGCAAAACATAGGTTTAGTTATCATAATAATAGAATCATGGTATTACCTACAGCATTTCAATACTAGTCAACAACGATCATCAATTGAAATTGACGACTTATTGAATTAAACATACAAAAATTTATCACACTTACCGCATCAACCATGTCCCAATCGATAGGATAGGCAAATAACTCTCTCTTATGAGTAGGAATTCCCTCAATAATCTTCTTGATAATGGCTTTCTTTTCTTCTGTTGATAACGCGGAGACCGGAGGTAGATTGCTGGGATCATTCTGAGCCGCATCAGTACCATTAGAATTATTAGTCATGGAGTTAGCTTTTAAAGCTGACGGTGGCAACCACGAAAGGCCATGCTTCTTTGGCTTTTCATCTTGATCCTCATCAGTGAAAGCTAACGCAGATTTACGGACTACCGGTTCAACTACTTAGTAAGAATTCCAAAAAAAATAATTGGAAATTAAACACGATATTCCCATTAAGTGTACAGTACCGTCAAAATTCGTCAAATTAATATCACTGTTGGAGAATCATAAGATTAACTGGAGGATCGAATCACATCAAAAACAAGCACACTAATAGGTAGCACAGACATTTTATGGTTTGTCTGTAGCTGTCACACAAAAAGAAAACAGATAATCTAAGCGACTGAAACTGCAGTTCCACGTATGAAAAGACATCAAGAGATACATTTAAAATCTGAACACTTACTTTTATTGAGAAGCATCAAAGTATCTAACCTTATAGTAAGGTCAAAGGTGACTAGCTATTCACGATTTCTGAGTCCAGTCTCATAATGTAGCATCCTTCTAGCGTACATTTCTCGTGTACACAGTAGAAGAAACTTCACCGGCAACTTATCGAAATCCTAAGCGTATGTGCCAGAAAATGAATTCATTTCCATGTCAGGGTACTGAAAATTTCCATCAAGAGCTAACAATAATAATAATAACTTTCACAATGAACTTACATCCCAAAGCAACAGTCTCCCTGACGATTATAAGCAAACTGATTGCTCCGTCAACGAGGAAAATGCATGCAGTCATCAAGTCTTATCAGCTGGATTCAGATTTTGGATGGACATATACAACTTACCGCCTTCACCCTAGGATGCAGGCTTCCACCATTTCCAATTTTCTTCACTGTGCCATGATGTTACGGTCTACTTGAATTTGTGAATAATGCTTTAAAAATGATTATGATTAACAGCATAGAGTATGCCTTAAATTTATTAGGCATAACTATGAATTAAAAGCACTAAAATATAACAAGATCAATAGCAGACAGATCAAAATTTTTAACCGCAATTACCTGTGCTCATTGAAAATAAAAAGGTGTTGGTACCATCCTTTAGCATACTGACGCCTGTCTCCTCGGGGGCAGCGGGCTCGAACTCTGAGGTGACACCGTTGCGCGCTGGTGATAAATTGTTGGTTTCAAGTGATTTAACCATACACTCGGTGTCTTTAGACTGCAATAGAGAATCACAATACACTGATCACACAAACCGTAAATATGACTGACACAAAATTCGAAGCCGAATATCAGATATATATACATAAAATATGGTTATTATATTACTAAGAATTCTTATCCCTATTTGTTCACGGAAGTTTACAACTCGCACAAATAATGTACTATTTGAAAATGTTACTATAAGACGATACCGTGCAAGATAATTCTTCCCATGTTATATGTCAACATTAGCGATGTTAGCATCAACAGTAAGATAGAAGTGTGTCGGTAAATAAAATCTTGTTTATAGATTATTAACTGTTATTTCTGCCTACCAACTAATTCAAATTCTTTTAACTTAAACAGCCTATGCAACCAATGAACTTAAACTTTTTGTTCTCTATGATTAAGCTCAGTTTTTATTAACATCATGTATTTCAATTTGGGTCATTAGTGATTTTAAAATTGAACCAAATTCACCACAAGAAAGACAAATGATCAAATATTCACAAGTATGATGAGTACAACAATAATTAGAGTATTCCAAACACTTGATTACTTGAAGAAAATCAGCACATATGAGCATAAAAAACCTACAAACGAAGGAGTAAACAATTTCTATGAACAGACTGACAACTATTTCTAATAACTGTAAGAACTTCAATAATTCGAGAAATGTAGACTATGGAGAGTGGATTCGAAGTCTACGATAGCTTATAACGACGGCGGACTTAAGTGATTATACAATATACCATAATAACATACCTCATTTTCAGCGTTCGACATATTCTGACTAACCGGCTCAACACATTGATTGTTGTCTTCAATAGAGTCAATAGACATATCCCCATCGAGGTGTAAACACTTCCTGAGATGCTCCTGCATTTTTTGCTCCATTTGAAAAATAATTGACTCCGCATTTGGATCACCCTCTTCAATTAGCTTGCGTCTAGCTGTTTCAAGCTGCTCAACCTCCTTTTGTCGATCACGGTCATCGGCAGCTTCTTCAACTTCACGGTCTTTTAAACGCTGGTGAAGTGCACTTCCTCTGAATGTAAAAAACAATTAGCACAACTTTAATCGTGTAGTAAACTCCCAACATAATCGGAACTTTGAAAACTGCAAGGTTTAACAAATTATATGCATAGCTATCTTGGAGCACAGTCGGGGACCGCTTACCTGCATTAGTCACTAGTTGGTAATACATATAGACTACGAGTCTGTCATTCCAGTTAAACTCTAATGTTTAAGTTTGGCATGTTATATACAGTCACCAGACTTAGTGACCAGATATTAGACGATAAAATTCAGGTGACTGAGAATTCCTGTTGACTGACTTCTGATAAACAAATGCATTGCTTATTTTAAACAACTTAAACGTAAGACTATCTTTTAAATTACAGAACTTAAGTTCAATTACAAGTCCCCTATTATTAATGTTTTGTATTTCCTAATGAATGAAGAACAAAGCGATATTGTTTTTACCGACAATTCGCTATATGATAACGGATGAGAGGGACGAAGAAGACAAGAAAGGAAGACATAGACCTTAACAGCTACCATTTTATATAGATCAGAAACGTCAGACAATATAGGAAGAGCACTCAATAAACACATCAGAGTTTTCTTCAAAACATTACACAAACTACAAAGCGAACTTATCCATGTAAAAGACCAAATTCCAAAGGATTCACAATCTAATGATGTCTATAAAATAAAAAGGTTGGAATGTGGCGCAACATACTCCAGACAGGTGTCGCAGGAAATCAGGATCAGAAGTGAACACCATAGAGCATCTGTCCGACCACCAAGAAATTCAACTGAACTAGAAAAGCTTGAAAAATCATCAGCTATACGTTTGCACACTAAAGAATCAGATCATAAAATTGATTTTGACAATAGTGAAATAATCCAGAAAAATTTCAGAAATCACAAAGAATGTCTACTATCAGAAGCACTTCATACTAAGTGGAATCAAAATTATCTGCATGACAGACTAAGACAGAACTTCATCTGGTCGAAACATAATGCCCCCCCACCTTGATGAAATGACATAATCGACACAAGTCTGATAAGCAATTTCATTATGTGGACATATGCTGTTTTTATAACTTCACACACTTATCAAATCTAAAAGTACACACGGTTTGTTATCTTTGCCAACTGACCAACTTGACAACGTTAAATAATTACATCGTGCTGAAGAACGATGATTAAGTTACTGTATGTGACCGGAAATATTGCAAATTCTGGTTTAATAATACTTTGATAAAGCTGCTAACAGCACTAAATAGCGAAACGTCAGAAAAATATATTTTGTCTACCATTCATTGGGAAATATACAAACTATTAAAAGTGAACTTGCTTTTGAAATGTATTACTCAATTACATGTTATCTGGCTGAATATTAAATACATACTTGATATTCATGAGACTATTTGATAACTTAGAGTTCCTTTCAGTTAAGTAATACACGTCTGGACTCAAATGTTCATGAATGAACATATGTAATAAGGTGCGACCAGGAAGCCACATATGAACATACAATTATAATCAGATCGTAAACCTTGGTCAAATATGCCAGTTTAGTGAAACTTTACTAAACACTTCCAATTTACATTAACATTGCAATAACATTCGAAAAAGTCTCTTCCAATAATGAAAACTTGAAAACCAAGTGATTTAGGTGTCTAAAAGACACCTTCGCTTTCTAACAACAAAGTTATATCTGCTGGTGATAATTACGTGCGCAGTGTAATACAGATTGATAAGAAGCAGTCAAGACTGAAATTAACATTTTTAGTCAGTGGTTGCAGAGGTAGAAGTGTTTATTCCTTAAATCCGGATTTAGTTTACGCTGTAGACATGAAATAATCTAATTGGACTTGTTTAACCTTGGGCTAACTGCTAACCAATCAGAACAATGTATTCTATGCAGACCTAGCCGAACTTTAATGCAACTAAGAATGTATGTTTTTACTAAATAAAAGTGCGATACCAAATCTCTTGTCTTCTGTTACTTGTGACACTCAAAACTGATTTCACACTCCAATAAATCCATGAGAGCAGCTTTGTTCTTAACCTTCAACTTGTTTTTCAGTTATTCCGTTTTTGTTAAATTAGTTGATTCGATCTTACTGTTTTTCAAATAATCATTCTGAAACAGCTGAACATGGGTGTTAACTAATGCAGCTTTGATGGAGACCACTGCAAACAGTTATTAGTGGGCAATGTATTGTACGAAGATACTGTTGCAACGAGGGGAATGCAACGGCCCATACTTACGATAAATGCTTACTTGTAAGACCTGAAGTTAAAACACATGTATCTACATCAATAATGGTGGATGTCAAATTACCAACAAAAAACAAGCATTACCGCTAACCTGTAATACTTGGGATCTTCAATATTGTCATCATAATCTTCAAAAAACTCCTTTAATCTCTGTGCCTCTATCTGTAATTCACGTTGTCGCTTCTTTTCGTGCTCTCTCTCGTGCTCGTATTCATTCGCTCTCTTTCTCTCACGCACCTCCCATTGTTTTAATCTCTATACAGTAAAATAAAGTAGAACACAAGATAACTTTGAGGAATTTTAGCAGAAAAATGAAGTGATAAATAACAAAAGAACAAAATGGACCGACAAACCACACTGGAGTGATATCAACATTTACAGTATGGCATACACTAAATTTTTGAATTTTGATATCAATTTGCCTATCGGAGATATTGAACAGAAAAACAGTATTATTTCCGTCAAATACATTTTCCTAGTCTTTCTATTGATGCTCTAACTTTTATCCGTCGGGATTAGAGCTCACTGACAAAGATTTTTAGGAATGATTCCATTTCTTAAGTATAGAAGACTGTTTCGGAATCTAAAGTAACAGGGTTGAGGGAGAGGTTGACAACCAAAGCTTTATTCATCAAATAATCTGAGAATATGTACAGTAGGAATAATTCACCACTTGTCCCGGATATGTAGAAAATCCCCTACCCTTACAACGAATATGCAGGAAGAACGAGAACTCTAAAATCTGAGTTCTGAAGTTGTGTAGTTTTAACTGATGTGACTATGAACAATAGATTCTGTTTAAACGCCACTCAGTAAACTATACTGTTTGAATGTGTAGTAGCGAACTGCGTAAGTGCCCCACCATCCAAGTTTTACACATACTAATTTCTAAATCCTCATACGTCAAATATTTGCTATAAGCTTTCATTATGAAAACCTTGATTATGAGCTTTAGTTTTAAAATGAACCTATTATGTCGCACACACTTAATAGCTTGGAGCGGTATTACCATTACGTCACTTATGCTTTTTATCCGTTTACAAGTGAGCGAAATGCACCGGAATAAATATTAGTATTTAGTGTATGAAATGACATCCAAGATGAAGTGTTCGCTGGGTGAAGAATACTTAGTTTGCAATAATCTCTGCAGCACATTCATTTCTGAGGTGATCAATGAGATCATTCACAGATGTCGATGACGTGCATAACTTCTTATTCACCAGGTTTTTACTCAATCCGTCTGAATGACTTAAATTTTTGAGGGCTTAAGTTTCGTATGTTTGGCATGCGATTCGCCCCCGTAAAATGCAAGATGCTGCTACAGGACTGGACTACGTCAACTCCTAGCTTAGTGATAGGGAGTGCAGTGATAGAACATGTTGACCACTTCACCTATTTGGGAAGTTGTATCAGCACCAACGGACTGACTGGCGACGAAATCATAGAACGGATCCAGAAAGCTCGAGCTGCTTTCGCTAACTTACGCCATCTCTGGCGTAGGCGTGACATCCGGCTATCAACCAAGGGACGTGTGTACTGCTCATCAGTTCGCTCCGTCCTTCTCTATGGCGGTGAGACGTGGCCATTGAGAGCGGAGGATATGAAGAGATTGTCTGTTTTTGACCACAGATGTTTACGATCTCTTTCTCGCGTTAGGTGGTATAATAAGGTAAGTAATGTTGACGTTAGGCGTAGAGTGTTGGGTAAAGAGGGGAAATCAATCGACGAGGCTATAATGTTACATAGATTGAGGTGGCTAGGTCACGTGCTGCACATGCCTAACCATCGCCTCCCCCGGCAGACATTACTAGCTGATATATGGGCAGGTTGGAAAAAAGTAAGTGGTGGCCAAACACAAACATGGCATCAATCCATGAAATCCCTGACAGTTAAACTGAGTCAGGTAGGGAGGGAGATGCAGACTTCCGGGTTGGGGCCCTCGGGACTCTAAGAATCAATGGCTGGAGACAATAGGTGACATGGCTCAAAATCGTTGTCAATGGCTTACGCAGATGTATTCAGTCTCTTGTGTAATCATTCATATTCCTTTCCACCATTACTTATTCTGTTTCACTCTTATACTTGTCAAAACTCTATTGATTCTCTTCACCCATTTTCTTGTCTACCTTTGTGTGCTATTTGGAACGTGGCAACTCGAACTGCTGCACTTCGGTGCTAAGTTCTATGTTGAATCCAGACAGACAGGGCTTAAGTTTCTGAGGGTAGCTTATAAAACCAGCCATTGTCATCCTGTTGTTTTGTACAACGGTATGTATGTGGTTTATCAGCTTAAGCAACCGACTTACAGCTAAAGAATTTTAGTCCCACTCAGCTTGGGACTGTGTAGCATCAACTGACACATCAAGTGCGGTTCATGGTCTCACTCTACGAGTTTTCAGACTATTCTGGAATTAGCATCGAATGATACCTGTTGTTGGAACACCACTATATTAAAATATACAGAATATACTACCAGTTTTCCCATTCAGAAAGTAAACACTTGATATCAAAAATGCCAGATAAACAGCACAGGAATTGTTGTGTCAATCGCTCACCATTTTAGAGATACTATGGAAAAGGAATCACTATCATTATAATTTTGTGAATCAAGACAAAAACCAACCTTTTGATATGACTCTTCCTTCTCACGAAGCTTTTTCTCTAACTTTTTTTTGATCGCCTCTTCTTCCTCATCAATATCTTTACTGGATATCACAAAAGAACTAGTTATTGGTCCACGCGACCGGCTGGAAGCCAACGAACTTGAGCGGCTTCTACTTCTGCGGGTCCTCTCTCGACGATATTCCCGCTCAACGCGTTCAGCATACGCCGAATATATTTGCATGGTTGTTAGCCCCGGACGCCCGGAATTTGAAACTTTTGAGCGTGGTTGCTTGGTATCATTTTGATCTTCCTTCTGACTCAAGAGAAAGCGGATGATTTCAAAATACAACATTCAAAAGCCAAAATGAAAACAGATACCAATACATTGCACAGGCAACACAATAAAAATAGAGCGGTTGCTCTTCAATACTATAGCAGAGTATATCATCGTAAGAGACTCACCGATCCTGGCAAGGGCACACAACTGAAGGTTGACACGACAGACGCCATGCTAAAAGTCAATTAAATATCCCATGTAAGGGATTTCCATAACGCTGAGACGGAAAAAAAAACTATGTGAATGGACCGAACTAACACTAATTGACCTTATCTACTTGGTATATAGTATAAGAAGTAAACTTACATCAACTTTAAAGGGAACTAAGACTGATTCAATGCAATACATATTCATACACAAAAGAATGGTTCAGAAAATCAGTCGAAACTGTCAATCTGTACCAAAAAAGAAATGGCAGAGTATATTTTTACCTCGTTTCGCTTCCGAAAGCTCTCGATCTCACGATTGATCAGGTCTTTACGGTCACTGTCAAGGTCCATATCTTCAATAGTCTGGAAAGAAAATCAGCGGTAGACGAATATTTCAAAATAGATCAATTTAAATCTCAAAATTACGTAAGAACCTACTGTGATTTGACAGTAAAAGAAATGCAGTTAAAAATAAGCCATAGGAAATATTCACTTGTTTTGGCCAAGCTGTTAATCACAATAAGTTACACGTAATTTCGTCTCGCAACTGAAATCTGACCGGACGCACGAAATGCTTATATAACTAAAAACTGCTCCACATGCATTAGCGACCTCCTTTAGTAACCACTACCACCGCAGTCTTACTAAATATCAATAATAGAGGTTAATAGTTTCTAAATTGAAGGACTAATAATCTGGCATGTAACATCCACGCAACAAAGTGAATTCTTACAAGAGTGGATGATAATATTCAGGTCTCATTACCAGACTAGACATAAGAAACACAATTCGGGGAGTTGCAAAATGCTGATTTTAATCAGAAAATCCACATGTAACACAAAACTAGCAGAAAATGGTCTTAGTACTCGTATTGCACGATTCCCAGCAGATAGTGCTAATGTCGTGTTTTAATAACTCAAGCTGTTATTTTGCTTGTTATAATTGAAGTATGTAGTCAGAAAATGAAGGTAGAAGAAAGTAAAACAAACAGAAAGTAAACTATACGCTAACATTTACAACACACTAATAGATACCTAGACTTTAATTTATCGCATCCGTCACCTGCAAAGGAAGGTCTAGTTAAGTGTCTAGCAAACTGGGTAACAACTCATTAGTGCAACAGAAAACAACGAGATGAAGCAATTAGAAGCATTGATGCTAAATAACTATCTCATAAAGTTGATTAAGGTTTCGCAAGAAAAGGAAAAATATTGGTGGAACTGTTGATCGTAACATAAGTACAAACGTGCCCAAGGCATCCAGTTTCAGAATTCTCTACGTTTGTATTTGGTTTTTATTTGGCTCTGTTACTTCAAACAGTTTTCGTAGCACTCAAGTCTAACTTATCATCCTACCTACCGGCTTACTAACTTTCAATGAATAACCTTGCACAGAAAGTAACGGACCAGTTGGATACAATCTGACACGAATGTAAGAGGACACAGCACACTACGACAAACAAAAATACGACGAGTATGAATAAGTGAGTCAGTTATGAGAAATAATGTTAGAAATATGTGGATTTTCTTTAGCGAATAAACATATCTTATGTGATAAATGCAGCGTGGCAGTGATTAAATAATAATTCAGTATGAATTAATTAACCACTAAAAAACTTACAAGGTGGCGTGGTCCCTCCAGGTGAAGATCTTGTTTTTTACCACCGTCTGAAATATGAAACTTTATAAGATGAGGACTCACTTTCATCTTCCAATAAGGAAGCACTTTCTGCTATAATATTTTCGAGTGCCGCTTTTACGGTTTCGTCATCGCGCTGAGTTGACTGATCGACTTCCTCAGAAGTTGCTCCTAAGGTTCCCTCTTCACCAACCTTTTCTTTCTTCTTTCTATATTCATTCAGCAAATCCTCAGTTTTAGGGTCGACTTTAACCTTTGGCAAAAGTTATGATTAATCGCATTCCTACCAGTAGAGGTTTAGGTCCTACTTTAAATCCATTTAGGAGACGTACGCACCTCATTGTAGACTCAGGGTCTTCATACTCACAAAACCCAAAGGCCTGGAGTTTACCAGACGCCCCCTGAACTCGTTTCCAGCTAAGAATATTCCCACATCGCTGAAAAGAAATTTTAGTAAATCTTAACATGTAGACTACCATTAGTAACGTCTTGATGAGTTGATCTGGAGCACACTCAGCAATATTGCCAACGAAGACTGTAGTGACTGGAGGCTTTTCTCGAACGTATTGCTAATACATGTTAATTAAACGCGCAAACCTACCAAAGGAATTTCAGGAACTGCGGCCACAACTGCAGTAGCAGCTGGTGTCGTAATCACGGGTGGAATAGTGGCCACAGGTGGTGGTGGTATGGCCATAGGTGCCATAGGAGCAATACCAACAAATCCTATATCATCATTACGTCATTCTAGACGACTTACCATAATACTGAGGAGCTATCCCAAAATAAGGATTGTGAGGATACATCGCAGTCACAACAATCAGTTGGCTTAAATGGCCGACCAGCGAAAGTAGAGCGAACAAACAAAAACTAAGTGTTGATGAGGAAAAGTGGTATAATCGAAGTTTTCTAGTATTTAATTCACAAATTCTCATAAAAAGAATTTTGTAATTCGGAGGTGCGTGGAGTTAAACAAGTCTCATAAGTCTTCATTTGGAATCTTTCATTTCCTGAAACCGTTATTATGTGCTGTCCAAATACATTCTAAGAGGAATTTACTCAGATACAAAGGATTTTGGTTATACCACTATACACTTCACAACTCAAAGATAAGAGAATACCTAGGATTAATGAAGTTTACTCCAAAGTTCAATGTACAACATCTTCGTGACACACTTGTATAAGTCTATCGATTTGTTGGAGCTTAACCAAAGTATTCTCAGTGACTGTTCTCTAAACCCGTATCGCGATGAATAGTTTGAAAAGTAACTGTATACACAATCTATAAACTCGTTTTAACGAACCTAAAGTAAAACCAAAGATGTTGCCAGACGGAAATGTTACAATATATCCACCTTTCTTAAAGTCTGGCACTGAAACTGTTTTTTTAAGAATTTTCTCAAATGGACTCAGTTTTCTCAGCTTCAGGACTGTCCACTGGTCTATGCTCATTAAAACAGGAACGTCTATTATCTATTCAGGGTTATTAACTCGATCCTCCTAAAATACTGGTACATTTAAAATCTTATATACCTTCTATGTTTATCCCTTGAGCATAAATTACTTAGAAGTAGACGAATGCAGTACACTGGCTTTAGAAGAGTTAACTTCCAGTAAGACCGTGACAATGAGGTCATAATAGGTAGCGGGGTGAACGCTTCATCACTATTCTTAAAGCTTGACCATTACATTTTGTTTAGATATCCCACGCTTGACAAGTTTGTGAAATATTACAGCACGGATATCTCAGCGAAAAAAGTACCTGTTTATCTTTGGTGACCAAGGAAACTCAGAAAATAACTTCAGTATCAGCAATTTCAAACCTCGCCTAGATTACTAGGTCACTAGTATTCTAGCCGGTCCCAAGCCCGGATAAAGAGGGAGGGTTGGGGCGTGGTGCTAGCAACTCCACCCCCAAAACTTAACCAAATTGCTACGAAAACTTCAACGCACAAATATATTCAAAATTCTAAAAATACAAACAATAACCTTATTTTTCGCTGGAATCGGGGAAGTGAAATGACGCAGGCTGGTGAAAGCCTTCGGGAAGCCAGTCAGCCGATGTGCCTTCTTTCGATGAAAGCAAAAATAAGGATGGGGACGTGGAATATTCGTACAATGTACGAAACTGGAAAGGCTGCCCAGGTAGCCGCAGAAATGAGGAGATATAAAATAGAAGTGTTGGGAATCTGCGAGAGCAGATGGAATGGATGCGGAAGGTGCCAACTACCAACTGGAGAGACAATAATCTACTCCGGTCACCCAGAAGACGATCACGAGCACACCGAGGGAGTAGCCATCATGATGTCACCAACAGCAGCTAAAGCTCTCATGCAGTGGGAACCAATCTCCTCCAGGATAATGACAGCCAGGTTCAACTCAAAAGGAAAAAAGGTTACAATCATTCAATGCTACGCGCCTACAAACGTCTCAGAACAAGAGAAGAAGGAGGATTTCTACAGACAACTACAAACAGTAATGGACAACGTCTCAAATGGCGATATCAAAATCCTGATGGGTGACATGAATGCGAAACTGGGAGGAGACAATACAGGAAGAGAACTCACCATGGGTCGCGAGGCCCTCGGTGAAATGAACGAAAATGGTGAACTCTTCTCAGACTTCTGCGCCTTCAATGATTTGGTGATTGGTGGCAGTGTGTTCAAACACAGGGATATACACAAGGCAACATGGATTTCACCGGATGGACACACCAAAAACCAGATAGACTTCATTTCAATCTCAAGGAAGTGGAGACGGAGCCTACTGAACACAAGATCGAGGAGAGGAGCAGATGTGGGTTCAGACCACTATCTAGTACAAGGGACATTCAAGGTGAAGCTAAAAGCCTCGAGGATACCTGGGAATAGGCCACAATGCAAGTTCAACACGCAAAAACTGAAGGACACAATCACACAGGACATTTTCACTGCAACTGTCAGAGCAAAGTAGGAAACACTACGTGGCACCACTGAGGAATCATCCGTGGAAGACCATTGGAACTCTCTGAAGGTAATTTTCAACGAAACGTGTTCAACGGTTTTAGGGAGAAAGAAGAAACAAGATAGGGAATGGCTCTCAACGGACACTTGGAAGCTGATAGAGGAGAGGAGAATGGTGAAAGAGAAAATGATTCAATGCAAAGATGGACAAGAGAAAGAGACGCTGAACTCAACTTACACAGCACTGGACAAAGAAGTGAAGAAGAGTGCCAGGAAGGACAAAAGACAATTCTACGACAACCTGGCTACTGAAGCTGAGAAGGCAGCATGCAAAAGGGACCTGAGGACACCATATCAAATAACCAAGTCTCTATCTTGGAAGAGATCAACACAAGTGAAACCTATAAAAGACAGCCAAGGGAACCCAATTACCAAAGAAGAAAGACAGATTAAACAATGGGCGGACCACTTCAAAGGACTCTTGAACCGACCACCACCTACAACCCGTCCAGAAATACCAACAACAGCACGTACACAACTGCAAGTTGACATCAATCCTCCAACGGAAGCTGAAGTCTTGAATGCAATCAAGCTTCTGAAAGCTGGAAAAGCAGCTGGACCAGATAGAATACCCCCAGAAGCACTGAAAGCGGACCCAGAAACGACAGCAGATATGCTGACTCCATTAATGCAAAAGATCTGGAAAGAGGGAAAGGTGCCTACTGACTGGAGGAAAGGTTACCTCGTGGAACTACCAAAGAAGGGCGACTTAGGACCCTGCACGAACTGGCGAGGAATCATGCTCCTGTCGACGCCAAGTAAAATCCTGAGTCGCATCATCCTGGAGAGAATAAAGGACGCACTGGATACAGAACTCCGACCAGAACAAGCTGGATTCAGGAAAGGCAAATCATGTTCTGACCAAATTGCAACTCTACGCATTATCATCGAACAAAGCATGGAATGGCAATCAAACCTCTACCTCAACTTCATAGACTTTGAGAAGGCCTTCGACAGCGTTGACCGCGAAGTAATTTGGAAACTACTCGAGTACTACGGCGTACCCCAAATATTCATCAACCTTATTCAACAGCTGTACGACAACGGCACATGTAAAGTGATCCACAACGGAAAACTCAGCGAAGCGTTTGGAGTAAACACAGGAGTCAGACAAGGGTGCTTATTATCACCAATGATATTCCTAATTGTGGTGGACTGGATTATGCGTCAGACAGTGGGAAACGAGAAGACAGGGATATCCTGGACCGACGTGAAGAACCTAGAAGACCTGGATTTCGCGGATGATTTATGTTTGATGTCACACAAAATAGAAGAATTACAAGCGAAAACCGACATACTGGTAGAAGAAGCAGCAAACACAGGAATCCAGGTGAACATAGACAAGACGGAGGTTATAAAAATAACCAACTAACAACAACAACAGCAACAGCAGCAACATCCAGTGGCAATCACCATCAACGGGAGGGATTTGAAAGAGGTTACTTCATTCACTTATCTGAGGAGCATTGTCTCAACTCCAGGAGGAACGGACGACGAGGATGTCAAATCGAGAATCGGGAAGGCGAGAAACACATTCATCAACCTGAAACCAATCTGGAAATATTCGTCACTCAGCATCAACAACAAAATTCGGATTTTCAATACAAACGTCAAGTCAGTTCTTCTATACGGACGGATCAGAAACTTGGCGGGTCACCAAGAATATTTCCAACAGCCTGTTGCAGACCTTTATCAACAACTGTCTTCGTTCTATACTGAAGATCAGATGGCCTGAAAGAATCAACAACAAGAATCTATGGGAACAAACAAAACAAGAACCAATCGCCCAACAAATATGCAGGAGAAAGTGGAGATGGATCGGACACTCGCTGAGGAGGCCGCTGGATGACATCGCGCGTCAGGCCCTCGAGTGGAACCCGAAAGGGAAGCGGCGAGTGGGGCGTCCAAGGGTGACATGGAGGAGATCGTGTGAAGAGGAACTGAAACAGTATGGATTAACATGGATGCAAGTGAAAAGTACAGCACAAGACAGAAGCAAGTGGAGGCGTGCAGTTGAAGCCCTATGTTCCACTAGGAACCCAAGGGAACAATAATAATACAATAATAATAAATCAGCAATTTCATCAGAACTGACAAATTTGTTTATCTGTGCAACAAATTCAAAGGACAGAGATGTGGTTACTTGATGTTTGGGGAAGCAGGATCTCTAATAGCTGCACTGAACTTTCATTTCTCGTTACTTTTTTTGATTACAGCTTGATTCCACACTTGTACTGAAAATACGGTGTGGAATTTTCAGCATGGATATCGGTAGCCCAAATTCAGGCCGACCATAGATATCGGGTGTGCGCCGGCAGGGGATCGAACCCCGGACCATGTGCATGGTCGGCGAGAGTCCTAACCACTGTGCCACCGACGCACCCATGCTTTGCATATTATTCCTAAGACAGTGGTCACTAATCGTCCTTAGACCTGTTCTGACAATGCAACCCCCTGAAAGTAAAATGACATATTAAGAGTTTCCACTACATAGGTTTCTGTATACAGATTCACAGATGGTTTGAAAATCTCTTGTAATAACCCTCATTGGGTTCTTGCTTTGAAGCGCAACACTACCGAACTTTTGGTTCACAAATGACGTGCAGAAACACTGTGATTAGCAGTTAAGCGCCTGTCTACTCCATTTTCTTGTAATGAGGTAGCGCGATTACGCCTAAGTAACTCTTTATTGTGTTTTCACTCACAACTTTTATTGGGTATTAATCGACAATGATACAAGGTGATTTTCTTCGGCTCATACGTCTGCCTTGCTAAGCCAGTTACTGGGGACAAGAATTCTCACCGATGATGCTACTTTGTTTGAGTTTTATCCGTCCCCCTGTTTATTATGGCATTTTAATTCCTGATTGTAATTTTATTAATTTGACCTTTCACCGAAAATTGTTCTGGAAGGTGGAA